GAAACATCCATCAGATCAGCTGCCTCTTGCACACCCACTGTGGGGGATGTGCCCGCAACTAGAGTACATGCCCTTAACTGGAATCGAACCCAGGACCTTTCAGTCCGTAGACCAACGCTCTATCCACTGAGCCAAACCGGCTTCAGCCTCTGCCCATTTTTTAAATTGGATTGTTTGTCTTTGGGTGTTCTATGAGTTACCTATATATTTTGGATATTAACCCCTTATCTGATGTATCATTGGAAAATATATTTTTCCATTCACAAGGTCATCTTTTCATTTTGTTGATAGTTTCCTTTGCTGTTCAAAACCTTTAGTTTGATATAGTCCCATCTGTTTATTTTTTCTTTTGTTTCCTTTGCCTGGGGAGGCATATCCAACAAAATTATTTCTAAGAGAATGTCAAAGATTTATTGTTTATGTTTTCTTTTAGGAGTTTTATGATTTCAGGTTATATATTTAAGACTTTAATCCATTTGAGTTTATTTTTGGATGTTGTATGAAAAAGTTGTCATTTCATTTTTGCATGCATCTCATCAGTTTTCCCAATATCATTTATTGAAGAGAAAATATATTCTTAGTATATTTTTTCCTTCTTTGTCATTAGTTGATCATATAGGCATGGATTTATTTTTGGGTTCTCTGTTCTGTTCCATTGATCTATGTGTATATTTTTATGCCAGTACCATGATGTTTTGATTACATTGCATTGTAATATAGTTTGATATAAGGTAGCATGATAATTCCAAATCTGTTCTTCTTTCTCAAGATTGTTATGGCTCTTTGGGGTCTTTGCAATTCCATATAAATTTTAGGATTATTTTGTCCTAATTGGTATTGATATTTTGATAGGTGCTGCATTGAATTTGTAGGTTGCTTTGGGTAGTATGGACATTTCAATGATGTTAAGTCATTCTATCTTTGAGGATGGTATAGCCTATTTATTTGTATCTTATTCAATTTCTTTTTTTATTGTTTTATAATTTTTGAGTACAGGTCTTTTACCTCCTTGGCTAACTTTATCGCTAGGTATTTTATTGTTAATTGGCTTTTATTGATTGCATAATTCCTGGGAGATTTCACAGGTGGTTGTGTATGTCAGGTTTGCTCTTTTCATTGTTGAGTAGTGTGGAGTGATATACCACAGTTACCTAATTTAACCACAACCTGTTGAAGAACAGCTGACCTGTTTCAGTTTTTGGCTGTTCTGAATAAAACTGCTGTATACAGGTTTCTCCATTTTTCTGGGATAAACACCCAAAGGTATAATTGGTGAGCTCTGTGATAAATACCTATTTAGTTTTAAAGAAACTGGCATATGGTTTTATATTCCAAGCAGGAATGTATAAATGATCTGGTTTCTCTGCAACTTCACCAACATTTGAAGGTATCATTATTTATTTCAGTCATTCTGATAGATATGGAGTGCTCTAGCTCATTTATAGTTTTAATTTTCATTTCCCTGATGGCTCACGATGTTGAACATCTTTTTCTTATGCTTATTTGTCATTTGTATATCATCTTTTGCATTTTTACTCCTTCATTTGCTGTTTTTTTTGTGTGTGTGTTTTTTCAGGCTTGGGATGGAGGTGAAGTTGCTGGTAAATTATCTATGAAGTTTGTTATAGTATACGTAGGTGGAGGAAACAGAAGTGCTACTGATAAAGATAATATTGCTTACTATGGTTCTCAACTCTGTGTTGGAGACACTGGAAATACAAAGATAAATAATACAAGAATATTAATCTTGAAGTTCTAAAACTATCTGGCACTTTTGGAAAGGGGAGCAGAAAATATGTAGAAGTCTGTAATTTCCAAATTGCATGACTTCAAGGGATAATATTTGCATGAGTTTTTTAAGGTGAACACAAATGATGGAAAGAGCCTAGTGGACACAGGCCAAGGATTCAAATTTATTTAATATGAGTTAAGAATGCAAAAACGTCTTTGCACATATATGGTTTCCTAGAGCAGGAGACACTCCAGCCTTCAATTCTCAGAAAACCATGCAGCTGCGGGTGAGGACGGTGGCTGGAGTGAGAGCTAACAGGTTCCTCAAGAAGCTTCTTCTGTCACTCTCCCTTGGGCCTCCTAACTCTTCCAGATAATGTAGATCTACATCTAATTGATCACCAGTTGCAAGTACCTGATGTCAATCCAGCACATGCCTGAGCACTTAATTTGAGTTTGGACAAAGAATATTCTTTCCAGGAATTTTATCCTCCCTGCAGGACTGAATCTCAAGCAGTCTTTTTTTTTTTTTTTTTTAGTTTTCTGCAGCAATTAAGGACTCCTGTATTTACTTAAGAATTGGACAGTGATCGTCTAGGAAGAGAAATAGCTCAGTAGAACACACACACACACACACACACACACACACACACACACACACACACACCTTATTTTTGGTAAAGGTACATTAAAAATCAATAGGAAAGATGGACTATTAGAAATCATCTGAGAAAAAATTTTATCTGACATCATAACAAAAACAAAATTTAGATGGATTAATTATCTAAATGTAAATTTAAAAACATGTGCATGTGTGTGAGTATGTGTGTAGAATAAAGGAATTTAATATTTTAAGCATGAGGTGGGAAGTAGCCAGAAGCCTTTTAATGAAGACAGGTACAGAGTAACTACATGAAAGTAAAATAAATCTTTATAAGAAAATGTATAAGAAACAAAGTTAAGAGAAAACTGAGTGAAAATGTTTATATACATACACACACATATATGTCATATATTCTTGCACCTTTCTGTTTTTCTATGGTAGATAGATATCCAATAACAAATTATCATTTCTGATACACAAAGAATTTGCATAATTTTATAAGAAAAAATACAAATTATCAGAAAATATGCAAAGGATAAGAACATGTAAATCACAGAAGGATACAAATTACCAGTAAACAGATGAATAGATGTTCATTGTAATTCAACATCTATTAACATTCACTAGTAATCAACAAACTAGAAATTAAAACAATAACATTTAAAAATTCATCGAACAGGCAAAAATTTAAAACACAAATAACAGTATTTATGGGCCATGGGAAAGAACATTCTCTTACATTTCTGCTGGGAATTCATTTTGCTGAGGACAGATTGGCACTATCAGAATTTAAAGTACACACACCCTTTGCACAGTAATGCCTCTTTCAGGAATCTGCCCTGTAGAAAACAAGAGGTTGAATAGAGGATCTATAGGATAAGAAATTCATTGCAGCATTAATTTAGTAGCAGGAAATTATAATCAGTCTAAAATATCTAGCAATATGGAAATGTTAAAAACAAAACTATGACATAGTTATACAGTGTAATAAAATAAAACCATTAAAAGAAGCAAAATCTATAGCACTGATGTGGCACACATGGTAGGATGTCCATGAATGCAAAGTCAAATCAAGAACATATGTATACACAGCATGATTTAACTGGTGGAAGATGGCTGGATGAGTGATGTGTGTATGTGTGTGCATGTATTCATACACCAATAATTTTTTTTAAGTTTGGAAAAATTACACAAATGATCTGCTAAGAATGGTTACAAATCTTAAGTATAGAAGTGCTATGTTGAGAAGAATTTTATTTATTTTTTGTATTTATGCAGAACTTGCAATTATTTTGTATCACAAAGGTATAATGTTTTATAATGTTGAGAAAGAAAAGAAATTATAAATGCTAAACAACCCAATCATTAACCAAAAAGAAAGAATTTGGCTTTTAAAAAATTGCTTTAAAAGAAAATACCTTTGCCTAATGCAAATTTAAATAAACAAACAGAGAAACCTCTTTCTTGCTGCTGTATTAATTTTCTGTATTTGGATATTTATCTCAGTGATTTCTCTCTGGTTATTTAATTCACTGTGTTTAGTTGATAGAGTCTCTGGGAATTTAGTGAAAAACTATTTTGTGACTATCTCCAGTTGTGATTTATCTCACCCAATGAACTGCTGGTGAGTGGGGAATTAGTAAAGCAGATACAGATCTGGAGAGTAGTATGTGGCTTTACTTATCTACGTAGAGATCCTTATTTCATATTGATAAAGCTTGAAATCCTTCCTGTAGCTCTTTCTGATTGTTCATTGTTGCAGTTACTGTTGTAATGAGAGGTGCAAAGAGCCAAACCAACCTACTTCTTTCCTTCTACTAAATTAATTTCAAAGGAAATTCTTCAATCCAAGTAAATAATGAATGTGGGTGGAATCAGATTCTGACTCAACATGTCCATTTAATTGCTTCTAAACGTTTAGATACATTCTTAAGAAACCTTCACACATCATTAAAAATTCAACCAGTAAAGAATGATGGGGTGAGACATGAACTGGCTCTAGCCATCTTTGCTCACAAAACCCCATTTTAAGTTGGCATTAATATTTGCCTTCCCCTCTATTATTATAAATCAAGATTTATTGTAGGAATATACCAAAGACAGCACAATAATAAAACAAATTCAGCACAGGTTTTGAAATGTACCTAACAAAATCAACCTCTTGCAAAATAGCTTTCTTATTCAAAATGGAACTGGGAATTGTTCAGCACACAATGAATCATCTTTTGGCAAGTACAATAGAATCTTTAGGGACATTTCACAGCCTCTTGTTCAATTGTTAGGATGTTTTTAGCTTTCACAGGTAGGGAAGGAGGTAGCTTGTATAGCCATCATTTTGTTGCTAAAATTGAACGGTAAAGATTTTTCAGAGTTGCTGTAGTAATAGATCTTTTTGCCTTTTTTTTTTTCCCCCTTCCTGTTTCTATGCCCAGAGCTGCTTTGTCTCTCAAAAGCAATCTGGAATTACTTAATGCTAATGTTTTCTGGTTTTACTATTTACCCAGGACTCAAATGATAAACATTAATGTGGGAAACTCCCTTTTTCTTACCTCATGGTTGCATATTTATTTAACTGTTATTCTGCAAGAAGAAAACTGCATCTTTCTCCAGGTTGATGGACTCTTTTTATTATTGACAAACATTTTGTTTTTGCTTTTTTTTCCAGGAGGCTTTAGAGTTACCCCTTGATGATTCTGAAGTGACTGAGGCCGCAGCAGCAACCGAAGTGATTAAATATGAGTATCACGTCTTGTATTCCTGTAGCTACCAAGTGCCTGTGCTTTACTTTAGGGCAAGCTTTTTAGGTAAGACCATGTTGGAAGCTAAATGTAAATTCATAACATTTACATATTAAGGCAGAAAGCAGACTTGGGAAATTATTCCTGAGAGGGGGAAAAAAATAGAGTTAAAAATAAGAAAACTGTGGGTGAGGTAAGGTTTTACCAGTAAATTTTCTCATGTTTTAGAAAGAGTATCAGGACTTCAGAGTGAATGATATCATCCTAGCCATGTCTGATCTTCAGATTCTTGGCCTCCTGCCCAGCGTTGACTAAGCCCCCTGGCCCTTTTTTGCTTCACTTTAAACAAGTAGGAACAACTTAAAGCTACAAGGTTTATTTATTTCTAAATCTACAGTAAAAATTTCTTTGCATCTTAAGCGATCCCATGAACACAAAGCCCCCGAGCCTCTCCCCCCAAATGCTAATAATGGCTCCAAGAACTATTTATCAATGAGTTTAGGCACTGGTATTTCCTTTGGCCATCTATACATCTCCGGTGCCTTCACTTCCTGCAATGCTGTTACTCAACTCCTTCCCCTTGCCAAGAAGGTGGAACACTCTGCTCCTCTGAGGCCTTTGCTAATAAAGCTTATTTGATCAGCAACCACAGAGTCTCCACTCGGCAGCACAGCGGTGACTTTCCCCTCCATGTCCTCCAGCTAAACCCGGTCAGCCTTCCCAGCCCCTGCCAGCCCTGGGCTCAGGGACAAAAGGAGTCACCTCCCCAGGCCACCCCCTACTCTGCTTCTCCTTCTTTATCTGGTCTCCTCAGCAGTCTTTTGCATTTTGAACAGACTCCTAACTTTTTCTGGATAGCTAAGACATCTGAATTTAGCCAGTGATATTTTATTTTTAATTAAAAAGTATCTTAAGCTGCTTTGAATGTGTGTATTTGGTAGATTTAATCGCTTGCTGCCTTATATTGTTTAATGGTCTCTAATTTTGCGGTGTTGGCGGTTTAACAAAGCACTTAGGATTTAAAACACAAGAACAAATTCTCATAGGCTCCCTGGTGGGAAGATTTTAATCTGAGGTGCAGTTCCTAAGAACTGACAATTTGGGGTAAATCTTCAACATGGGACATGGGGAATTGAGGACACCGAGAGTTCAGTAACTCACAAACTCTTGCTGTGGATTTATCCATATGATCATGACAGAACTTTAAAGCACTCACTTTTTTGTAATTCAATTTGGTTTGGAGCCCAGAGGTTGAAGGAGGTGTCTTGCCAGTGAGCTGTTATACCGAAAAGTAGGAGGAGATCTATTTATTTATCAGGGGGGAGGAAAATGTCTTTCTTGGTTTGGGGTTTTCAGTGGCTCTTACCTAGTAGCTTTCAGATTCAAAGATATGTCGAGGCTGTAGGTAGAAGAAATAGGACACTACTTCTTCAGTACTGTATTTTCACATAATTAGTATTCACCATAAGCAGTTAATCACCAGAGAAGAGCTCCCAGAGACAAAACAAGTTGTTTAGCTTGTCAGCATTAGGGAATTGGAGGTGTTGAAACATGACTGCTTCTCGCTGGAAGTGGGTCTTGCCGAGGCTGCTGGATGAGCTCATACGTGTGCTTTGCTCTTATGTGCCAACAGCTCCCCTTACAGCATAGCACAGTAATTGTTCCTGCAAGTCCAATTACATTTTAATGAAATTTGTGTACTTCCTAAGATCTTTTCTGCATGTTGCCTTTTCCATTTCTTAAAACACACACACACACACACACACACACACACACACACACACACACACACACACACATAAACTCCAGCGTTCTTGGATATTGTTTACATTCTTTTAAGGTTTCCTTTATTATGCTTAATAAAGAAAAACCAAAACAAGTCATCTGTTTTATGTAGAAACATTCCTTGTTCTCTCTCCCAGTTCTGTGCTGTATAGAATGAGTATTAGAAATGCTTTAATTTCAGAATTCATTTAGTGCTTGTTCAAACACATTAAAATATCAAATTTAATCTTTGGAGAGCATACTGAATGTTTTCTTGTGGAGAAACATGACAAACGGTTCTTTCCTTTATCATAGTCTAATGATTTCTTTTCTCTTTTCCACCTAACTTAATGGGTGTTCTAAAAAAGTATCACCCTTTACTCTAGAGTCATAATTTTTCACTTATTCCCCTCAATCTATTCCTTTTTCCTATGATACCTGATTTCTCTGGCTTTTCATCTGCTTATTAAACAAATCTCTGTCCGTGTGGTGACTAGATTCCTAGCAGCTTCCTCATATTCCAGATCCAGATTTTTCTTTGGCTCATTCTAAAAGAGTTCGACTTAGAAAGGAGGGTGACTATAAAATTTCTCGCCCGGGGGTCTTTTGGTTGTTGTTGCTTCAAAAATAGTTGAGTTAGCCTTGTTTTTGACAGATATTTAGAATTTCTTTTTCATTTGATTGCTATTAAAAATTAGTTCCTCTAGCTTGCTCTGAATTTTCTTCTAATACCTCTCTTTTTAAAGGAAAAGCAAATAATAAGTATTTCCATTTAAACTGACAGTACCTTTAAAAAAAAATCAACTGGCTTAGATTCCAGAAGAAATCTTTATTTTGTTTCTTGAGATACAAATCCATTGATCTGTAATTATCTCTTCTTTCTTTATATTGTTGTATCCACCAGGCCAACTATTGCCTAAGACTCAGCTAACATGCCACTTGCTCTTGTCACTCCATACATATTGTATCATATATCAAATCACATGTAACATATCACATTGCATCATATCATATATCATGTTACAAGTTGCACCATAACAGACTTATTTGATTACTTGTTCCCTATAAAATGGTAAACTAGAAGTTAATGTTTTAAGTTAAAAAGAGAGAAGAAAATTAATATTGGGCACTTAAAAAGTGAGCAAGACATTTTGATACCCACAATATTAACTGTGGTTCAGTATCAGCAGATATTTATTGAATGAACCAATGAGGAATTTTTAATCATTTGTGACTACTGTGATGGGTTTATATGGAAGGAATTAAAGCTGTAGTCTCCAGGAGACTCCGGACTCAAATCATCTATGTATTGTTACTCTGTAGTCTGATATTTCTCAGAGATTATAGGATTAGTTGACTAAGGAGAATGGAAAGTCCTGAAGACTCAAAGGTGGACCTCTAAACCAACAGAGCAGCTGTTTTACTTATATTGACACATGTTTTTATTTGATCTTTTATGCAGACAGCTACTCTGAGACAGATTCTGCTTCTGGGTGCCTCTCATTCCTAATACGTGAGCTTACAGGAACTCAGTTTTGTGAGGGGTAACATGGATTTACAAGAACACATATGTTCTTTCCATTGTTCCTCCCCCCTGACTACTCTTGCCATTATGGGTTTGAGAGAGGTAGTGGGACATGCTTCACACCATTTACTACCCAGCAGTGGGTGAGAGGCATTTGAACTTGTCAAGTAGTAATAATGAGCCTGTATTTGAATAGTGCTTTGTAATTTATGAAGTCCTTTCTCACAAAGCATTGATGTCAGTGCCCACTGATTATTGTTTTTACTTTCCTATTTTCTAAGTACACAGTATTTTAAATTATTTGTATCATGCCAAAGGCTTCTATTAACTCCCCATAATTCCATCACCTTTTAGGAACGTGGCTTTGGTCAAAAGCTGATGGAAAACAGAAATCTGGTAAAAACTTACCTACACCTACTGCTTTGACCTCACCACACTTCTAAGCTTATATATTTTCCCCATTTCACTGATAGAACTAGAGACCTCTATATTTCAGCTTGAATTTCGATTTATTTCTTCTTTGTTCCTCCTCTTTTCCTTTGCTCTCAATCTCTATTGAAAAATAGACCAAGTGGTTCTTCTCATTTTCAAAATAGTTAATTTTGGGGCTGACATCTGGGTTCTTCTTGGGAACCATTTTTGACGTATTTCTTTAATTAGTCAGATGGGCTGCTTTTGAATAAGGAAGGAAACATTTCTCTCATTCAGCAACTGAATGTCTGTTCTTTCTGTAGATCCATTCTATTATTGGCCCAGGGAGGAAAGGTATAGAATTAAAAATATAACCCAGATATTTTATGTGGAAGATCTGTCCACTTGTTATATGCCTGAAGGATGCTCATGGAGAAATAGGGCAAAAGAAATAGCCAAAGAATAATTTCTTCTCAAAGGCAGCACAAACCAAACTAAGATACAGGACAGCACAAAGGACAAATAATGGAAAGTTTAGGATGAGAACAGTGCATGAGTCATCAAGGAGGAAGAAGAAGAGTCTTGTCCATGCTTTGGAACAAGAAGAGTCCTTTGGAATGCAAAGAAGAGAATGGTAGGGACACAGGAATAATGGGGATTGGAGGAAGTAAGAGAAAAATAAAATCCATACCTCTGTCCAACAACCTGAAAGGGAAGGTAACAGGTTGGCTTTTCTGAAGAAGTTGGGAAAAGAAGCTGGAAAAAAGGGAGAAGGACAAGTCCCCAACTGTAGGCTGGAGGGAACATGGCATATTTGGGGAACAGGGAGAGGCCAGATTACAGTAGGGATTTCTTAAGATGAACTGTGGAAGAAATGGTTGAAAAGATATTTGAGATCAAACTATGGAAGAGGTCATGGATGGGAAGGAATTGGATTGAAGGAGATTGAGCAGAAGTGATTGGGACCAGAGGAGGGATTTCCTAGAGCAGAAATTATGACTGAGTAAAACAGAGGATAAATGAAGATGAAGAGAAATTATGAAGAATGAAGTTTTAGTAAACGGAGTTTGGCTCTTTCTGTATTGTTAGCATTGTATTAATTTAATAAAAAATAACCTCTTAGAGAAAATGAGCTAGAAAGAACATATTTTCAGGGAAAAATTATTATTGCCAACAGAGGAAGAGTTAAAGCAGCTGATTGAACAAGGTAAAAAAAAAAGTGGATTAGAGAGGTACTTAAAGACTGAGGCAAAAATGATTCTTATTAATTATTACAATGAGCGGAAAATAGAAAATGGTTTGATAAATGACTTAATTTAGAGTCTTATGTGATTGTAGAGATTGCTTCAAAAAGTTTATATATGCC